TTTTTTTTCTCAGTGCTGGTGCTCCTTTTAACGGTCACTAAATGAATTGTGGTAAGTCGACGGCTATCTGTACGTAAAGATCCCGCGTTGAGAATTACATTTTGGCAAAGCACGACTCAACTTCAATTAAACCCCTTGCATTATATATCAAAAGTTGGAGTGGGCTGGTGGCCTTGAGTGGGGGGCTGTCATCTCACCATCAGGAGGCTGTGAGTTCGATCCTAGGTAGAGGCGGATCTTTCCCTCTCTGGGAACACTGAGAATATTATCTGCTTGAACAAAACTCCGTACTGGGGACCGGGAAAGGCATCCGGCCAGTAAAACACTCTGCTAGCTCCATTCGATTGCCCAGACTGCGCACCGCAAGAGATTATGGGGTCATTAAACAAAGATGATGATGATGACGGTTATACCTCAAAAGCTCTGTGGGCTGAACCTTTGATTGGTGCAAACGTGAGGTACCCTGCCACAAATATCACTTTCCCTTTTGCAGAAAATTAAGGGGGAGGTAAGACTCGCAAGGCTGAAAAACAGTGATTTAAGGCGGGGTGTGTGTCCAAATTTGGCCATTTTTAAGACTTCAGCTGGAATTCTGGAAATTGAAATCAAGTTAGACACCCCTTTTTCTAAGGGGAAATCCTCTCCGGGTTTGCTCAGCCACGCCCGAGACTGAACCCAATCACAAACCAGGATTGTCGGGGAAAATTTGGAAATGTGGATGGAAAGAAGGGGGAGTCAGGAGGAGCCAAGGATGAAAACATAGGAGGGGTGTGGGGGAGGCAGAAATTGGACAAAAATTGCTTGTGGACAAACACATTTATATTTTGAGAGATCAGTTTTATTATTCTGTTTGCTCATCCCGGCCTGGTGTCCCAGCGCTGTATTACAAACAAAAACAGATACACGCAACAAACAGTAGTAAGATGCTGAGTGAAGATTCCTGGGGGGGGGGCAGGCAGCATCCAGAATGAGGGGTGGGTTCCTATCCTCTCTCCCCCCACCCAGAACGGACGTTGATCTATCTGTCCACTTCGCCAAAGACGATGTCCTGGGTGCCTGAAGAAGAAAAGACACGGAATAAACTACGTTTCACAACATCTCCGGAGTTGGGAAGCAGCTATGGGTTAGGAGTTCCGATCCCCATCATCCCTGGCTGGCATGGCAGGTGGGGGGGGGGGGGAAGGGAGAACAGGAATTAAGAGGGTCAGCGGTCCCCTCCATCCAGGATTCAGGGAAGAAAACGTGGCTCCCTTTGCAGCCCGTGGCTGATTTTGTAGTGTGGTTTTAAGTTACTCCGTGCTGGCTTGGGGATTCTGGGAGTTGTGGTCTACCCCTCTCAAAATGCCCAAGCAACACGCCGCTAAGGTTTTGTAACCCTGGTTTAAGAAAACAGCCTGGTGTACCTTGCTTATCCATGGCGAAGTAAACTATGGTTAGTGCAAGGCTGAATTTGGGGGCCGTTTGCTCTGAAACTCTTAATTTTTATTCTTTGGGGTCTGTTGTGAGCTGCCCAGCCCGCTCTGAAGTCAGCTGGTGCCAAATTAAAATAAACTGAATTAAATTAGATTTCCCCCAAGGAACATAGATACTTACCAATGATGGCTACCACATCAGCAAGCATGTGTCCCTTGGACATTTTATCCAAAGAGGCCTGCAAAAAAGGGAGGAGGAAGATTTAGCGCAGGGGGCCCCAAACTTGGCCACTTTAAGACTTGTGGACTTCAACTCCCAGAATTTCTGGGAGTTGAAGACCACAAGTTGTTGTGGTCCATCGGCAGCCTGGCAGAGATAGAAACAGAGTCGGACAGTGTGGAGGAACATGGGCCAATCCAGGAGTCTGGGGAGGACTCGGACGAGGGTTCTGCATCCAATACGGAGATGGGTCCAGGGCCATCGGGGAGTTACGCACCAGCTCTGGAGCCTCCAGAATCTGACAGCAGCGAGGAAGAGGAATAGCGGAAGCCTGTTCCCAGTGCGTGCATGCACAGAGCTGTCCGAAGGCAAGAACGGTTAAGACAAAAGGGGCGACTCGGGAGTAAGGCTTGGAGGCGATTGGCCCTCCCATAAGACATCAAGGAGGAGCAAAGGGACAGGAACCTTTTGCAGGAAGCAATTTTGTTTGTACTGATCGGTTTGAAGCCTGAAGCTCTGCGTTGAATTTATGCTCCGGTTGGCCTCGTATAACTAATTGGACATTTAGTTGTGGCAGCATTTCAAAGGAAGATAAAGGTGTGTGATTATCAGACTTATCCCGAAGGACTTTGGCAGACTTCCGTGGGACTATTTACAAATTGTTTCAGACTCATTACGGGCTGGGAATGACTAAAATTCACAGCCGTTGAAATAAAGAAAAAAAAGGGCTTTGGAGACTAAGGTGTGTTTGTTAGTGTCTCCATAAGCCTCGGTTAGAACACAAACCTTAAAGTAGCCAAGTTTGGAGACCTCTGACTTAGGGGGAAAGGATGTTGGAAAAGAGTACCCTTGGGCTTAAGCGGATGGCTGCTCCGAGGCCAGAAGGAACAATAAACTCACAAAAATATCCTCCAGCCCCCACTTATACTTCTTTCCTGCGTGCAGGTTATCCACGACCATTCCGTTTAGTGACATTTACGACCATTTAGTGACACTTACGACCATTCCGTTTAGTGACATTTCGGGGTCACAACGGCGCTGGAAAAAAAAGTGGCTTGGGACTGTCTTTTCACACTTAACGACCGTCGCGGCCCGCCCATGGTCATCCTTGATCGTAATTCGGGCGCTTGGCAGTGAACCTCACTTCACTGTCTCTCTCGCTCATCGACAGAAAAGCCGGATTCCATTGTGGTCGTAAGTCAAGGACTACCTGCCTTTCCCTCCTGACCCTCGTGGAGATATTATTATTTCTCTCTTACCAAGTGTGCAAATCCAGGTGCTTTAATCTTGCACCGATACGGACGGCTGGTCCCGTCAGAGACCAGGTAGACGCCGAATTCGCCCTGCAAAAACAAGGAAGTGGAAGTCGAAGGGTTCATCGAAATCCTCAAACTCGGTTTGTTGTATGTAAACCACGATGAGCTCGGTTCACACACACACACACGCACAACGGGCACGAAAGCAAAGCCAACCAAAAGCCGTATTATCCATCGCTTGACTTTTCGGGCTTACGATGGGGACCGAATAAATGGAGATGTAAAGAACCATTCCTCTAAGCGCTGGCCATTGCAGGATCCCTGTGTTTGTGCGATTGTGGTTGTGAGATCTCCCCCACTGGCTTCCCACAAGTAAATTCCCGTGGGGGAAGTCGAAAACGGCAGTTTGGTGAAGTCCCATACGCCTCTCGCTTAACGACAACCTGGGAGGGCTGGAATTGCGGTTGTTAAGCGGAGCGGCCCTGTGGTTGGTTTTTTTCCCCCGACTTAACACTGTGTCACTAAACGGTGCGGTGGCCTAGAGATGGAGCTCTCGCCTCACAACCACGAGGCTGTGAGTTCAATCCTAGGTAGGGGCAGATATTTCTTTCTCTGCGCATAATGAGAACATTATCTGCTGCACAAAACTCCTCACCAGCAACAGGAAGGGCATCCGGCCAGTAAAAACACTCACTTTCATTCAGTTGCCCAGACTCCACCCTGCAAGGGATTACGGGGCCGTTAAAAGAGGACGATGACCATGTTGCTTAACGACGGAGTTCCCGATCCCAGTTAGCATCATTAAGCGAGGACTCCCTGTAATTTTATGTCATGGTCGTATGACACGTTCACGTCACGTTTCGGTAAAAAAGGAAGACGCAGGGGTACCTTCTCTGTACCAAACAGAGAATGCAAAGTTTGAAATCTTTAACAGGAAGATTACAAAAGTATATCTAGGCGGCAAATATAATTTTTTACTCCTTGCCGCAGCCACAAAATCGGCGAAATTTCCACTATAGGCTCTTGTTGTGATATTCTAGCCTAGATATTTGCTTCCCTATAGTATTATACCTGTATAGATAGCGTGTTTTACATCTGTTTTTTGTTTGTGCATCAATACAAATGAAATTTCACTCCCAGGAGAGCAAATTAACAAGAGGGCCCCAATTCTCACATTTTGCGGGGGGCCGAGCTGCTTTTTCTATTCTCATGCTCAGAAAAATGACCATTTCTGTTTCGGAAAAAAAAAAAAATTGAGTCCAAACAGGGTTGCCTTTGAGGGTGTCCCATTATTGGGGGGAGACCTTGGATTCACGCAGAGCTACACAAAACGTGCAGCGCGCAAATTCAGTATTTTACCTTTGGAGCCTCGATGGCGGTGTAAGTGGCCCCCGGCGGCACTTGATAACCCTCGGTGTAAAGTTTGAAATGATGGATCAGCGCCTCCATGGAGGACTAAGAAGAGGGGGGAAAAAGAGACGGGTTCAAACGTCGCCTCCGGATGCTTTTGGGGTTTCGTGAGGGTGACCCCCAACCAGAAGGAGAATCTCCGAAGGTTAAATCGCGGCAACTGAAGCCAAGTTTATTGAAACTGAGATGTTTGGTTACTCATCCAAGCAACCTTTTACTAGGTAGGTAGGCAGGGAGGGAGGGAAGGGAAGAAAGGAAAGGAAGGAGGAGGGGAAAGGAGGGAGGGAAAGGAAGGTAGGTGAGGGAGGGAGGGAGGAGGAAGAAGGGAAAGAAGGAGGGAGGAAAGAAGAAAGGAGGAAAGGAAAGAAGGGAAAAGGGAGGGAAAGGAAGTCAGGTGAGGGAGGGAGAAAGGAAAGAAGGAAGAAAGGAAGGG